TAATAATAATAATAATAATAATGACATTGCAGCGTTCGTAAAATGTTTGTCACTGGTACTGGTAACAGTCACAAAAGTGGGGGGGGGGGCCCTCCCAGCAGAAAAGTGGGTGGGCTAATGGCCCCTCGCCGCCGTTGGGAAAAACCAAGGAAATGGTGATACAGTAGTTCTTGAAGATTATTCTCATTGTTTACTTCTATTCAACGTCTTCCGTATCATTCCGTATCAACTACTGCATCACCATTTCATTGGTTTTTCCCTTCTGTTATACAATAATGATACTCGTTTACTACACTTCCAGTTAAACTTTCTCATTCCGTGATTGTATACTTTAATTGGCGCCGTTCTCTTTGCAGTGTACAGTAGTGCAGCCGCATAAGGTTGGAGTTGAATAGCTTGGTGGTTAAATGCTTGATTTTCAATCCCAGGGTCCTGGGTTCAATTCCTGTCAGTGTTGCAGGATTTTTTCCACGACCAAAAACTCCACTCCCTAAATCTCCAATCCCTATATCCTGAGGTGGAGCATACTGCCTAACAGGGTGCCTGTGTGTACCCAGATGTAACAAAGACGTTGTTTCTACATTGGTGGCGGTTAAACTCATCTTGGACGCCTAATTGTGTGCAGCATAAGCTTAAGAATCATGCATATATTTAAAAATTTTAAACCCCTCAAGGATAAATGGAATCGCCCATACATACCCTGCGTGTATTATCGGGTATACCGTGCAGGCAAGTTTAAGTCACATGTATATGTATTTGTGTATATTTTATAGTTCATTTGATGATAGACAGCCTTTCTGTAAGGTTTGTAATTTCTTCCTGAATTTATTTATTTTAAACATACCCCTTGAGCACAAAATGGATTCGCCCATAAACGCCTTGTGTGTAATTGGCTTTGTAGGCACAGAGGTGAGGCATGCACTGTAATTTATATTGTTGTAAACACCATGATAATTGAAATAACTGTTTTCCAGGGAGATTTTGTTGAAAAACGGTCGGCCATCTTGAAATTCAAAATGGCCGCTATCTATGGTCTATGACAATATTAAAATCAAATAGGCTGACATTGAAAACATAGGTTTAACACTTGAAATTATGTCAATATCTGCTTTAATAGTAGAGTTATGGTCTTTTTTTATGGTTTAAAATGGCAGCCATTTTGAAATTCCGATATCGAAAAAAATGGACCCTTGCATTTTTGGATTCAGCATACAAAAAAAATCCAGAAAATGCAATAAAATTGCTTCGGGCAAGCCTATCTCGCAAACCTGTTTTTTTTTTTTTTTTTTTTTTTTAATTTTCGACACTAGGTTTCTCACTATATAGGCTTAGCCTTGAAGGGACGAAGGTCCCAATGAAAAACAACGTCGCTCCTTGATAGCTAACATTGTCTATTTAACATCACAATAATTCATTATTAGACCTATAGTTGTTTTTTCGCCACAAATCTCAGCCGATACCTCGCACAACTCGTTAACGTCTCGTATCTATTGTCGTGACGTCATGGCTCGCTGGCTCAGACTTGTGATGTCTCGCACTTGTGATCAAATGACACGCTGGCTCGCACTTTGGCAACCCTCTTTGGCAGTCAACTCGCCCCTAGAAAACCCGCCCATGGAAACTTGCCCCATAAAAAATGTACACTTCCTAGACCATGCAGTCTTCAAAATAAAAATTATAACCCAGGTAATCACCTACATTTTCCACATACATAGAAATTTTTTAAACTTTATTAAAAAAACCTAAAAAATAATTCATCACTATAGACACTTTTTGACAAAAATGAAAAATTACGACTTTGTTACCCAATGAGAAGTGTTTTAATATAGACAATGGGTCGTGTCTCATATTATTTGTTATATTTTTTATTATTCATTATTTTCACTTGACTCGCACAAATAATTTTGTTCAAAGAACATTTATATGCAGTTGTACTTTGCAGCCACTTCACTTGCAATTTGCAATTTCTAGTAATAAATATTTAGAAATCCATTAAAAATGTCCCTCAAAATGCTAATTTGTCAGAGCTTCCAGAAGATTCGCCCCACCCTCGCGGGGATCCCTAGGCAGCCGCCCATCATAAGGTCCGCTTCGGTTGCAAAACGCACCTCCCCATCGAAAATCCTACCTACGGGCCTGCTAAATCATATTCATTAAATTCCAGATAGCGTATGCTTCAACTGAAGTGATGGTACCATCCATAAGCTCTCCGTTGGACCCATTGGATGCGCGGTGTTCTGGAGTTCGAATATTGCCAAATGCAGAGGTAAATGGGTACGGTGCCTCTACGCAGTTTTCAACACTTAAACATTTCCCAAACATAACTTTTCACATGATAATTATTATGTTTGTTAATTCAAATTTTAGATACAATTGGTTGATGATGACGGAAAGTGTGTACCTGTTGGCAGTAATGGCGAAATTTGGTGCCGCTGCTCTGGTAACTTTCAGAGATACATGGAGAATGACGAACAGACGAAAGCAGCTAAATCGCCCCACGGGTGGTTTAAAACTGGGTAATTAGCTCCGGGCCCGCAATATACACGGCCGTCGGCTGACGCTGTTCCAATAAGAAGAACGCAATGCTACTGGCGCGTGCAACGGCGACGATCGCCAGTGAGAATCCAATCTATAGTGGGGCTGGTTGCATCATTTTTTATAATTTTGTAATATCTTTTGAAAAGTAGATGCAATTTCAACTAAACTAACTGAGGGGTAACATCAGATTGACATAGGCCCCTACTACTAAAAGTAAAATCATAACAGATAAGTTAATTTTTATAGAAATATTGAGGGTTAAATATTATTTTAGCTCTGATGAGAAGCTCTATGAATACCCGGCTGATTTATTTATAGATCTTTCCTGTGCTGATTGCTTGATAGATCTTTTCGTATGGGCGGCCGTTAGGGCCAATATACTCTACTGCCTCTATTATACTGTCATCATCGGAGCTTTCGAAATTACGAGACCTTTTTTTTAATCGGGGCAATTTGAATCATTAAAAAATCAACATCTCTTTTTTAATATCAACTGAATACCTCTAGTAGCAGAATTACATAAACAACCAAATATATTTTGAAGGCCAACCTCAATACTATAACATTTGATAATTACCCAAGAAAAAAATAACATTATGGCGTGTGTTCTAAAGCAGGAATTTCAATTTTCTTAACAAAAATGGAATAATCTATATAATCATCGCCCCAATACCCTTATTTAACCTGTTCACTCTAATCTGTTGAGTTTGCTACACTGCTATGCACACTTGGCACACTATGCGACACTTGGCACAGCGAGTTTCTCGGTCAATAAAAATTTGCTTGCCGCTCGCTTCAGTTGTTCTGGGTCCTTTCTCTATTTTTCTTTAAAATGTATCGTCTCACCATTGTTCAAGTGTTGTATCTGTTAAAATATTAAAAAAAAGGATATTAATTAATAGTTTTTTCTTTCTTCTTTTTTCTTTTTTCTATACTGTTCACTGTTTATAAAAGTATAACTCTTAACTTACGATATTCATGAACATTATCTTAGTGCAATTATATACCAAACCAATGCATCAAAATTTTACTTACATGGATAAAAATAACGATTTCTTTGTTAAAATATTCAAGCTTTACTGGATCGCTTCAAACATTTGTGTGCTATTAGACGGTGGGTGTGGTTGCCAGAGCCTAAAATGTTCATATTTAAAGAAAACCCCTGTGATGCCACTTCTCCCCGATGCAACTAGCCCCGCTCTCCCCACTCTTTGCTGTCACTGACAGTCAGATTTCGTCGTGTAGTTATGCACTCAAACAAAATGGATATGGTTTCGTCTGCCGATAGTCGTTGTCGTATACGATAGTCGTACGGCGCAGTGTGTCCGGCTTCAATTTTGTTTCCTAACTAATAGAAAAGTACGTGAAAATAACTAGCAATCATCATCATTATCATCATCATCATCATCATCATCATCATAATCATCATCATCATCATCATCACCATCATCATCTTCAATATTCTTCATCATCATCATCATCATCATCATTATCATTTACAATAGTAAATCATGAATATGTAAATAAATTTCTAATATGAAATATTTCTAATATTGATATTTACTTTAGTGACCTTGGTGTTTTTAACGCGTCTGGTGTCCTGTCAATAGTCGGGAGAAAAAAGGTAGGATAATATAGGCCTATTTAAAATAGCCACACGTTGATCGTCATTGTCAATGAAGAAGTATCCCCAAACAAAATGGACATTTCCGCAAGCCCCGCCCTTGCATGCTAAGGAGCTTTCGATTTGTGCGACGCTAAGACGGAATCACGCATGCGTGACCGTCCTTCCGGACGTCCTACGTTCTTGCATACGTAGATTTGGCCAAATTGCGTTCCAAAATCTACTCGACGAGGTGACCTTAACGTTCTCGCATGCGCAGATGACTTTTAGTGACGTCATTACGTTCTAGGTTCTACCGTCGTCGTGCAATCGAAAGCTCCCTATTGTTGGTAAATGCCACAAAACGATAGCGCGTAAACGTACGTAAACGGGCACGTGACGTGTGGGTTTGGGACGAGCGTGTGTTGCTGGCGCTCTTCTGATTGATCAATAGTTACGTTTGGTCGACACTCCAGAAATGTCCATTATTTATGTCTACCTAACCAACCACTCACACTTCACACTTCATAAGTAATCCGCAACCCTGCACTAGATCCAAATAAGTGGCGTCGGAGCTTGGACGACGGGGTTCCGAAGATGTCGCCGATGGGTGGGGGCTGGTATATGCGACTGCTGAAGGCAGATTTCCACAGCTGGATACGTGGGCGGGGTCAGGGGCATGCCAGAAACTCTCATCTCAGAGTGGGTCCAGAGGGAAAAGTTCCAGAAACTCAATTTATGGATCATTTGAAGGGCGTGTTTAATCAATTTTAGAGTCTGACATTCTGTATATTTTTTGGGTTTTTTTCCCGGCGGGAGTGGTGGGGATGAAAGCTCTTCTTGATGGCGCCACAACTTCGACTACCTTACATAGTGTATCGGTAAATACAAAAGAAACATTTACTTTGCATTAGAATATCGTTCATTAGAATTTTATTTTTGTTTACACAGGATATGATATACAGGGGTGCTGTAAAGATTTTTCCCGCCGGCATCGAAAATGTTCTCTCACGACATCCATCTATTGATCAGGTTCAGGTTGGTAATCTTATCTCAATGAATTTTCTTCATCTTGTTTGCTCCTATAATCTGTTGTGGGCGCGTCTACATCTACAAATTGACGTGACATAGTTTGGTGTACCTACTTGGGTACGCTGTGTAGCGCATTCCCTTCCACTTCACTTTGGCACCTCCCTCTCCCCACCTAATCCCTCACACTTCACCTTCGCACTTCCCCTACCCCATCAGGCTCCTATTCCAATAGTGACATAAATGGATCCAGAAATAGGCCCAGTAGTACGTGTTTCGCCCTGCCCCGAGTATAGTAGTAACGCACGTGTCTGCGTACGTCTACACTGTCGTAGGACCATAGCAACAATATCCAAGGGGTGGAGGTTAGCGGAACGGTGCATTGTGTCAGCATTTGTAAATCTATAGCATTTCAGGGACGAATATCCGGCGCATTCGCCACAAGTACTTATGATGATTGCCCATGCATTCATCACTGTCTTGTAGTTTAGACTATATTGCAGCGTTCTATGGCCTTCCTGATAAATTAATCTCAAAATTGCAGCGTGCTCAAAATATGTCTGCTAGACTTATATCAGGAAATCTACGTTTTCATTATATCACTCCCATTCTAAACCGACTTCACTGGCTTCCAGTCAAACAAAGGATAGTTTTTAAGATAAATCTCATTACGTATAATACATTAAAGCTCTTCATAGTCTTTCACCTGTGTACATAAGCGACATGCTAAATCTTCGCTCGATGTCATCATTGCGATCGTCAACTAGCAGTTATGTACTTACCAGACGCTCTTCTGGGCTGAAATACTATGGTGATAGAGCCTTTAGTGTTGCTGCACCTATCCTTTGGAACCAGTTACCAACTGACATAAGAGAAGCTAAAAGTGTGAATATATTCAAGTCAAAGCTTAAGAAATTCCTGTTTTCTTGATTTGCTGACCTCTGACCCAAAACCTTCACTTATAAATTTTGGGAATAGTTTAACCAATTATTTAAGTTAGTTTATTTAAGCGTATGTAAGTGTAGATCAAGATTATAGTGTCCTGGGTACGACGTTATAAACTGCATCCGGTCGAGTCGTCGGCGACTAATTCCGGCAACCCCATCTGGTGGTCTTTAGCGGCCGCCGATTTGAGGGTGGATGGACACCCAGCAGCATGAAAAAAAACAGTTCAACAAAGGGCGGATGAACTCCTCGGAGACAACGACCAACCATGCCTTAGTTTAAGGAATAGGTTTTTTAGTTTCATAAAATAACTTCAACTTTTTTCAAAAATGTCAAACTCAAAGAGCTCAGTCACCAAGCGCAGAGGCTTTTTCGCATGATGCACTCTACAAATAAAAATCCAACTATTATTAGTATTATTATTATTACTTGGGTACGCTGTGTAGCGCATTCCCTTCCACTTCACCTTCGCACTCCCCCTCTCCACCTCATCCCTCACACTTCTCCTTCACACCTTCCCCTACCCCTACCCCACCAGGCTCCCATTCTAATAGTGATATAGATGGATCCAGAAATAGCCTGGGTGCAGTAGGAAATTAGCAGGAAAAAAGTAAAGGAAAATTTATTTTTGGTTTTTCTGAATCAGTGTATCATATAGTGTCTCAGAAAAATCATCCCCATTCTTAGAGCTTGGGCAACTTTTTTTATAGCACTTTGAAATTTTGACATGAAATATCCTATTTTGGACTAATTAAGATGGGGGTAGGGGAAATAAATGTATGTTTTTAGTCACTTTATACATATTCTATGTATATCAAGTGTAACTAGAACTTGGCTAAATAGTTACTCTTCACTCTCGTTAAAAAATTTAATCGGAATGATGACGCCATCACAAAATATTCCAAGATGGCTGCCATTTTGGCGTAAAACATCTTTATAATGTAAAATTAACTTTATTGTTATCAGAGCAATTTGAAAACAACGTTATACATACAAAAATAAAATAAAACATATATATATATATATTATATGTATAATAATAAACTATCAGAATACAAACCCACTGAAAAAAGAAATCGCGAAATTTTGCTCTGAAAGACCCAACAATTCAATTTCTGGACTCGGATCGGCGTAAATTGAAAAAAACGATGGCATTATTTTAGTCACTTCTAGTTTTGTTATAAATGTTAACTAGTTACTCGTTACTGTCTTTATCAAATTTGATTGAAATGATAATAATGCCAATTTCCAAGATGGCGTTTATCTTGGCGGGGAAAATGGTTATTTTTGTATAAAATACAATCTTATCAAAGCAAGCACATATAATATATAAATATCATTATTTTAATAGTAGTATTATGCTTACCCTCTATTATTGTTGAAATCATTATTAGTATTATTATGTTATATATTACTATATTATATTCTTGTTATTTTAAAATTATATTTTTTTATTAAAATGAATTACATTGTTAGTACTGTTATATAATAATATTATTTATAATATTTTTATTACCACTATTGATCATCAATCATGACAGTATTATCATCATCCGTCATCATCATCCTCATCATATTCATCATCGTCATCATATTCATCATCGTCATCATCATTCTCATTGTTGTCTAATCATCATAATCATCCTTACTGTCATCGATCGTTGTAATCATCACCATCATCATCACATCATAATCATCCATCGTCATCGTCCTCATTTTCATCACGTCATCATCAATTATCTATCGTCGTTATCATCATTCTCATAATGTTCATCCTCCTCATCTTTCATCATTTTCTTTATCATCATCCTCATCATCATATTCATCCTCAATCAACATCATCCTCGTCATCATCAATGGTGTAGCCAGCTATTTGCACTGTTGGGACAGTCCCACACCGTTTTTCTAATGGGTCCACAAAAAAAATGGGTCCACATTTTAAACATGGGTCCAAATTATGTAATTTTATGCATAAAATGGATCCATATTTCTCGTATTTAGCTAAAAATGGGAAAAATTTAAGAAAATGTGTCCAGAAATTTAATATTTTTGCGTAAAATGGGTCCAGTCCACATTGTTTAAATTTACACGTAAAGTTGGTCAATCATCCATTATCGTCACCCTCATCACAATCCTCACCAATCATTGTTATCATCATCACCATCACCTTCATCCTACTAATCATCCTCATCCATCATCATCAACCTCATCCTCCTTATCATCTATCATTCATCATCATAGTACTCATTATTATCGTCATTATCATCCTCATCATCATCCTCATTACAATCATCATCTGTCATCATCATCCATCATCATCCTTGTCCTCATCATCATCAACCACATCACCATCCTTATTAATTATAATTATCAATCGTCATCCTCATCATGAGGATGATTATGAAGAGGAGGACGACAAGAATGAAGATGAGGATGAGAGCAGAGGGGATGTTTCTCATCAGTCGTCATTATTAACCTCATCAACATCATAATTCTCATCAATCATACTCATCACTATCATGATCACCCTCATCAACTACCATTATCATCAAGCATAATCATCATCATCCTTATTTTCATCATCATCAAACTCACCATCCTAATCCTCCTCCTTATTATCATCATTATCCTCACTATCCTTATCAGCATCATTTTCTTTCTCATCATCATCCATCATCAATCATCATCTACCACATCATCTTCCTTACTTTTCAACCGCATCATCCTGTTCCTCCTCATCATCATTCTTATCTTCATCACCATAATCATAATCATCATTACCATCATCCTCATTATTATCGTCATCCTCATCATCATCCTGATTACTATCATCATCATCATTACCATCATCATTATCCAAAACATTTTCTTCCTCATCATCATCCATCATCAATCCTCATCTACCTCATCATCTTCCTTACTTATCAACCACATCATCCTCATCCTCCTCATCATTCTTATCTTCATCACCATAATCATCATTACCATCATCCTCATTATCATCATCATCATCATTACCATCATCATTTACATCATTATCCTCTTCATCATCATCATGAGGATGATGATGATGGTGAGGAGGACGAGAATGAATATGGTGACGATGGTGAGGATAAGAGGGATGATTTTCATCATTCTTCATCATCCTCATCATCATCATTCTCATCAATCATTTTCTATCATTCTCATCCCCATCATCACAATCATTATCATCAACAACCATCAATCATAATCACCATCATCTTCTTCCTCACCATCATCATCATCATCGTCTTTCTTCTTCTCCTCATCATTAACATCCTCCTTATAATGGGGATTATACCTTGATTTACCTTGATTTACCTTGATCTTGGAGCTAAAGCAATAATGCTTATTCGCCCCTCTGTCTAAGTCTCTTACATACGGTTTAAACTTCTGGTGGTGATTTAGCCAGTGTTCTTCAAGTCTTGATTTGAACTGATTTATTGACCGTGAAGCCACAGCTTCAACTGACATATTATTCCAATCATTAATCACCCTCGTACTAAAGCTTTGTTCTCCCCACAAATTTTAAAAACCTGGATAACCGAAGCTCTCTTCCTTCTATAAGCTAGTTTTGGAAGATCTAATCTTATTAACCTATTCTCATAATCCAATTCCCTTAACTCAGAAATTAATCGAGTAGCTTTTTGTCGTAATTTTTCCAATCTATCTTCGTCTTCAAGGAATCTAGGCACCCAAACATTATTACAGTATTCTAATGTTGGACGAATTAATGTCTTATACAATAACAAAAAAACTATCTGAATCCAAATGTTTAAATGCACGATGAATAACTCCCAATTTCTTATTCGCCATGGAAATTACATGCGAAACAGGAGACCGGAAATTCATCCTGTTATCTATAACAACACCAAGATCTTTCATTTCACTAACAACTTCCAATTCAGTCCTTTGTTCTCCTTCACCAATATAATACTTAAAATTCTGATTTTTATATCCAAAATGCATAATCTTGCACTTTGTCAATTTGAAAGGTAATTGCCACATTATAGACCACTTATATAGAGCATCAATGTCTTTTTGAAATTCAATACTATCGTCTCTATTGTTTACACTCATGTAAATCTTTGTATCATCTGCAAATAATTTCATTTTAGAATATTTAATGGAATCTAGAAGATCATTAATAAAGGCCAAAAATAGTACAGGACCCAAAACACTACCTTGAGGAACTCCACTAACCACTTCTTTCCATTCAGATTTAATTCCTTCTACTACAACACACTGTTTCCTCCCAGTCAGGAATGATCCAATCTAATATAACAATCTGCCTTCGACTCCATATGCTTTTAACTTAGACAATAATCGAACATATGAAACTTTATCAAAGGCTTTTTTGAAATCTAAATATAAACAGTCAAAGTAATTTTGAGTATCCAATGATCTTTGCCAATCATTCAAAACTTCTAACAGATGAGTAGCACATGATCTGCCAGACCTGAAACCATGTTGTGCATCAGAGAAATATGAATTTTGTTCAAAGTGCATGACAATTTCCTCTCTCACAAATGTTTCCATTGTCTAACACAAATTAGATGTTAGGCTTACTGGTCTATAATTTAATAGTACAGACTTGTCTCCTTTTTTATATAACGGGACAACATCAGCATATTTCCAAGACTATTCCTTCCTTCATAAACTTATTAAAGATAATAGCCAACTCTTCCCCCAAAATATCAGAATTTTCTTTTAAAATACGGGAATGAATCTCGTCAGGACCAGGAGACTTGCAAATATCAAGACCACTCAAATACTTAATTATATCCGAAGCTGAAAAGTTAACACAATCGATAGGCGGTAGTTCAAACTTCAAATCTACGACAGGGATATCATCAAGATTCTCAACGGTAAACACCCCAGTAAAAGATTCATTAAACAATTCAGCTTTATTAAAATTAGACGATAGTGTCTTTCCTACAATATCTTTTAAGCCTGGAATAGAGGGTTTATACTTCCTTTGACTATTTACATACTGCCAAAAAGATTTCGGATTAACTTTGACTTCCGATGCTATCTTTTTCTCTAAAGAATGTTTTGCCTTGCGTACTTCATTAGTAACTTGATTTCGAGCCACAACATAACTATTCCAACATCTCTGATCCCTGTTTTTAAGATATTTATTCCAAGCCTTGTGTTTAATGTCAATCTTATTTTTCACATCTTTATTGAACCACAATTTGTTTCTGCTCACTTTCGTATTCTGAACATTACGAAGATGTATATATTTATACAATCCTTTAAAATGACCGTAAGATAAGAAAATGCCTCCGTAGCAAATAAATCCTCAATAACTCCAACCAAATCAGCATTTATCAAATATTCCCTCATTTTTTCATAATCAGCTTTATAAAAATTCCTAGTTAGTGTAGAAGTTTCAATTGTTGGATATCTACAAATTCTAAATAACAAAACAGCATGATCGCTTTTTCCCAGAGGAGGACCATATTCTAAGGCATCTACTAAACTTTCGTCTCGAGTGAAAACCCAATCCAATATACTTGGTTCATCTCTCCCTCGAAAGCGAGTGGGTTCCAAAAAATGTTGATACCAAAAAAATTCCTCAGTAATATACTAAAAAAAATCAACTGTATCCAAATCGGCATGAGATTCCATTTTAACCCAATCGATATTCTTATAATTAAAATCGCCAGTAATTAAAAGAAAATAAGCCAAGAAATCATTCGCCTGTTTCAATAACAAATTTAACAAAATATTATTTTCCCTTGTACTATTAGAGCTGCGATAAACACAGCCACCAAGTAATTTCTGATCGAGTGGTAAACTAATAACTACCACACAGACTCCTTAAAACCATTAAATACAACCTCTGTTGCTGAAATACCATTTTTAACATATAAACCAGTGCCGCTCACATTTACCTTCGGACAAAACAACTGGTAACATTCTAAACTAAAACTATCTGTACTGATTTCATATGCAACGTTTTTTGGAAAAATTTCTGTTATAAATAATAAATCAGATGATACTTTCTGTAAACGAATATTTAACTCCTCCATTTTATTAAAGAGAGAATCACAATTTGTGTACATACAAATCAAAAAAACTTTTCTCTTTTTTCTGTATACTTTTACTAGTCGCCTTGCTTTCAATAGACTTTAATTTCATATAAAATACGCTCCCCCTTTTCTTTATAACTTTTCCTCTACGAATAATCAGATCCGTCTCACCATTATCTTGTCTATGCTGAAGTTCTAACTTTAGTCTTTTAAACTCTTCACGCTCTGGTTTCAATTGGTCATGGTACACCGAAATAGTTTTTGCCTTTTTTATTGTTTTACTCTAGTTAATCTCAAAAATTTACGTTTATCAGATTCAGTGCCAAAAAAAACATTTAGAGGTCTAGGTCTATCCAAATCCTTCCTTCCAATACGGAAACATAAAATAAAATCCAGATCGCAATCTTCGGTAAGACTCTTCACTGCTCTCATATCCTCCTCTTTCTTATCCTCTACCAATTCAGAAACTGGTTCAACCAAACCAAAAACCATTGCATTACATTTTCGCCTTTCTTTCTCAGCCCATTCGTCCAAACGTATCTGAACAATATTTTCAATTCTCAAATCCAAAGGTAAAACTGTATCGTCAACAGAATCTGAATCTGATTCACTCCTTATACACCGCGTACTATCAATACCACATAATAAATCCAGTTTAGCTTTATTAGCTTTCACTTCAGCCTTTACCTCGTGTAATCCTATAGTCGACATTTTTTCTATCTCCTCTCGATTATGCTTAACTTCACATTTTATCTGTTCAACATCTGACTTCAGTTGCTCAAGGTTATTATTCATTTTCATAAAAAAAAATCTCCCTTACTAAGCCACTCATACTTACTCTTACTTATACCCTGACATTTAGAATGAAACCAAAAATTACACAAATTACAAGAAACACCCCTGTCACTATCAGACACCAACATATCACATGAACCACATTTATGTAACTGGTTTCCAGCAGCAGTATCAATTAATTATTGACTTGCAGATGTTAGCCTAGCCCTAGATTTAGTTTTGGCTCCTGTATCGTCACCTCCACTAGCCATACTGTCACACATCAATTTGTCTATACCAAAGGCCTAAAAGTTCAGTCTCTAAAAATCAATACAATCCTAAACTCACAATTCGTAAAACTCACTCAAGGCTAAACTATAAACACTAATTAATCAATCCTCTAAATTATTTATAAATATGACAAAAATAAAACCTGATTTTTATATGACTATTAGCGATTCCCACAAGAAAAATCAGAACACGTCCTTCACCACCAGAAGCGCCCTCTTATCATTCCAATGAGGATGGGAATGACAATGAGGAAGATGATGATGATAATAATAATGACATCAGTATAGTAAGAATAACAGTACTAACGCTAATATTAATGTAAATTATAAACTATAATTTTTTTTAAAAAAACGCATAAGAATAATGATATACTATATTAATAATATTATAAAGCAAGAACATAATAGTATAATAATGATAATGAAGAAAAATGTAGTGTACAAAGATTAAATTTAGATAGGTTAACATTTCCTTTAATTTTGATTGTAGTAGTCTTGGAATTTGGTGTGTTGACGTCATCATTCAAAATTTGCTTGGGAGGTGGGAATTCCCGTCAGACAGGCCTAGACTCCCATCGTCCGATGCCACCACACCACAAATAATGATTTGCAAACTCTCCCATAAGCCCAGGGATGCTTTTTTCCGGGACTCTGACCGAGGGTCTAGTCGGCCCTGTGTTTGGACCCACCCCATCAGATCCCCTCGGGCCACTACTGAACGACTATAATGGGTAAGTATATAACTATGGTCCTGTCAGTTTTCGCAGTTGTAGAAAAAAAAAACCTAAAAGTGACTAAAAACATAAACATGTTTTCCATACCCTGATCCAAAAAATTGGTATTTTAAAGAAAAATTTCACTATTTTTTCAACGTTTTTTCGTTGGGTTAACTTTGTAGTAGTTCATCAATTATATATATATATATATATATATATATATATATATATAGGAGCTTAGAAGTATCCATAGGGGGAAACTAAAACAAAA